CTTGGGGGTGTTGGTTGATGAGAAAATGAACATGAGCCAGCAGTGTGCGCTTGCAGCCCAGAAAGCCAACTGCATCCTGGCCTGCATCAAAATGAGCATGACCAGCAGGTCGAAGGAGGTGATCCTGCCCCTCTACTCTGCTCTTGTGAGACCTCACTTGGAGTATTGTGTGCAGTTCTGGTGTCCTCAACATAAGAAGGACATGGAACTGTTGGAACAAGTCCAGAGGAGGCCACAAGGATGATCAGGGGACTGGAGCACCTCCTGTATGAAGACAGGCTGAGAAAGTTGGGGCTGTTCAGCCTGGAGAAGAGAAGGCTGCTTGGAGACCTCATAGCAGCCTTCCAGTATCTGAAAGGGGCCTATAGGAATGTTGGGGAGGGACTCTTCACTAGGGACTGTAGTGATAGGACAAGGGGTAATGGGTTAAAACTTAAACAGGGGAAGTTTAGGTTGGATATAAGGAGGAAATTCTTTCCTGTTAGGGTGGTGAGGCACTGGAATGGGTTGCCCAGGGAGGTTGTGAATGCTCCATCCCTGGCAGTGTTCAAGACCAGGTTGGATGAGGCCTTGGGTGATATGGTTTAGTGTGAGGTGTCCTTGCCCATGGCAGGGGTTTTGAAACTGGATGATCTTAAGGTCCTTTCCAGCCCTAACTATTCTATGACTCTATAACTCTATAACATATTTTCCCAGCTCTTGGTAGAGAGAAGACCAATGACTTTCTGAGCTGGAGAACCAGTGTACAGGTCTTCTGTGGCCTAAAATACTTTTTCATGTCTGAATTTGTCTAGATAGGTTGTTGCAAGAGACCTGATCCTGAAAAGCATTAATTCATAAATACGTTTGGAGGAAGTATAGAAAATGGGGGTGCTCTTGGAAAGGAGGGGTTTGCTAAGACAAGTCTCTAGCACGACAAGATGGCCAGGTCACTGTGCCACATCAGGGGCAATGTTCCCTGGAGTCAGGAATGAGCAGCTCTGTAGTGTGACTGCTCTTTGTTAGTGATACTCGGGAAAACACAAAACCTATCACCAACACGATATGTTACCTGAGGTTGAGCAAGAAAGCAATTACAGTAGCAGATTGCTATTAACAGGTAGAAAAAAATATGCCCAAGCCTGCTTCTGCATCTCAACTTGTGGTCTGATGTTCAGATAAGATGAAAACATCGTAACTTTCAGTGATTAACTGTGAAACAGTGGAAGTGAGTGTTCACAAGTGAAATTTGTTTTCAAAACAACCTTAAATACTTTCATCCAGGCATTTCTTTCTGAATAGCACAGCCTTCTGTGACACCATGGAGCATTTTTATGTGCAGTCTTAATTGAAGCAGTCTTATTTATAGTAGTGAGTATTCATTCCTGTCATTCTGAGGAAGGCTAATAAAATGTTCTCACTTTCCTTTGCATCAGCTAATGATCTGGAAAACAAATATATTGCCATTTCTAGGGAACCTGATCTTGCCATACTAGATTATACTGGACAAAAGCTGTATTTCACCTTCCATTTATTTATTATTCACATTTCTCCAGCGTCTGAAGTTCCTGCTGTGGTGCATCAGCCATAGACCCCCTGGCAGTCCACGTCCCAGAACTGGTAATTTACATCTAAGATGAGAGACAACAGATGGAGCCAGAGAGACAAAGAAGTATAAGGAGATAATTAGACCAAATCCATCAATGCAACTGGCTATGGTCTTCATGCATTAACACTGTGGCAAAGGATTGTTGCACAAGAGGGTTTAAAGGGAGTCTTGTGAGATGCGTGTGCTATACTGTGCTAAAATATTACCTTCAATACTTAGATAAATTTAATCAGAGAATCTGACTGCAGTGTGAGTTTTTTTTATCACTGATCAGTAATTGCTGTTTACAATACTTAGTTCTCAGTTTAGCTATCCTTGGTTTATCAGGCTAAAGAATGGTTTATGTCAAAGGACATGTCAAAGGAGACATCAGTCCTTTGTGCAACTAGAGCACAATGCAGAGATGCAGCTTTCCACAGGATGAGGTATCACAGCATGGATGTAGGAACTGTCCATAGTTAACGGCAAGCTGACTATGATGAGTCGTGTAAAGTTTTCCTTCTGCAGCGATGATGTTTCACCATTTAAATGGCCAGAAACAACGAGGACACATGGCAGTATCCTTTAACCCAGATCTTTTACATAATTGAATGCAACATTGCACTGCAGTGAGGGATTTGGGGAATCTGAGCCTGTCCTCTGCACTAATAAGTGCTCCTTTCTCAGCCAAGAAGAGAGGAGCAATACTGGCCCAGGGAGCTGATGAACACTGAGATTTCACAGGCCAGTGCTCCTGTGAGCTGCCTGAAGACTTGAACTGTGTCATCTGGAAAAGTTCTGCTACCCCTGCGTGGGGGCCCCCAGCTCTTGCTTAGGGCGGTCTTTTTGTTACTCTAGAATGAGTAATAAAGAATGAGAAATAATCTCAGTCAGCACTCTCCTAATGACTCTTTGCAAGTGATCTCAGCCTGCCTCAGAGACATGTGTTGAACCTGGCCAGCCTTCATTCTTGACAAAAGCCTTTTAATAACAAATATTACCAAACCAGGAAAAGTATAGTAGAATGAAATCCAGAGCCTAATGCTGGGAAATGGTTGTTGACTTCCAAGCTGTTTTCAGGTACCCAATCCTGCTAGCTCTTCTGTGAAAACAAGAGCTGCAGGGCTTTCATCTTTAGATACCATTTTGCACCTAAGGTGAGCTGTGGCCAGGTAATTTGATTCGGATAATCTTTAGAGAGCTCCAAAATGTGTTGCTCCTATGTCAAATGCGATATCTTATCTGAAATCAGGCTGGTATGAGGACTCAATGACAGCTCATTGCATCAGTGGCCTGCCTTTCCTGACTCATCCTGATCAATGGCCAGGGTGCTCCTACAAGTATTGACACATCCCAGCAATTTCTAACTTCTGGAAATTATATTGAGCTCTGGCAGAAGCAACTTTGGAAAGTCAAGAATACACCAGCAGTGGAATGAAAACCTTACTCACACCTTCTCTAATTCTTCTCTCTCCTTCTGAAAGTGCCTCCCTCTGCAAGCTTTTGCAATTACCTCTCATTAGCCATTGACAATAAAGGAAGAGAAGGCATAAATTGGAAGCATGAATCATATCCTAATTTAGCCTGTCTCTTCTGCTAGTAGGAAGGCATATGCTTCTCAGACATTCATCTGCATCAAGACTAAGAATGCATGCATCCGAGGGAAAGCTGAACTATTCAGACTTGTACGATGAAGTGGTTTCTATTTTCCTTTAAACAAGAGAATAATAAATTGGGAAATCTTCTCCTTACAACTGTCTTCATCCTGTATGAGGTATGTGCCTAAACTAGTTCTCTGTATCCAAATGTGTAGGAGGAAAGCTTGGTTTCTGGTTAAGTGTCTGCAAGCCGGGGGTTGACTGTGTGTTTCTGATGCAGATTGTGTGTGCTTGGCAAATCTTTATGTATTAATCTGCGTTTTACAGCTGAGGAAATGAAAATGCCCTTATACAGTTCATGGAAAGGGCTGTATTGAGACTGTTGCAGTAAGATGGAACTTGCTTGTGTAACCTGCAACTTCCTTCTAGCCCTAAATTCCTGAGCTCACAGGCTCAACGAGAGCATTGATATTTTTGAGGGCTTCAGGCATTATAATCACGGAATAAGTCCACAGAACAAAAGGACTTCTCTAAACAGACAGTAAGGATCTAAGAATCAAAACAAAAACTGGCTCCAAATATTCTTCTTGAAGCAAGAGAGGTAACATGGATTAGGATGAGATTGTTGTAATGCTTAACTGAGAGTATAAAGCCAATACTTGTGCGAACATGCAGGTATCTTTCAAGTAGATCACATGAACACCCATGATGATATTGTAGACAGAAATAAGGTCACCCGGGTAGGCTGTGGAATAACTCAAATTATTTCTTTTGAAAAACAAACCAAAACATGTTTTCATGCTGTTGCAGTGTTTTGTATAAACTTTCTCTAGTGCTGTGCTATACCATCCTCATAGGGAAAAGCTCCTTTTTTTTTCTTACAAGTACCACCTGCTTAAGTTATGGAACTATATTTAGTTTACAGAAAGTTGCAAAATTTAAACAGGATAAACCTATGTCACAGACAGAATCTGGTATCGGTGAAAACAAATCTCTAGTATCAAAACACAAGTTAAATATTGATGACTTCCCAAATTCCGCACCATAGTAAAACGAACTTTGATGCTCAGAGAGCACAACAAGGCCACTTGGAAACAACTATGCAAAAACTCAGTGGAGAACCGTTGCATTGCAAAGACTTTAAAATGTGCAAGCTAGCTGTTTCATTACTGTGTGTTAGTACACCTCAGGAGGAAGAGAAAAAGCAGTATATATAGTGTGCTATTTAAACTCTTTTCTATTACACTGCTATTAATGTATTAGTAAAAGAAGAATCTCACATTTAAGTGCTAAAAATGAGCCTCTGGAAAAATGCACTGTGGTACAATTCACTACATTACGAATCCCAAAGTCGACCAAGAGATGCAGACAGTGGTATGTTGTAAACTGCCTGGGAAGAAGGTAACAAATGTGGAATGTCATTATCCTCTGTTTTCTGGTGAAGCTAGCTGAGGACCCACTGATGCCCTGTCTGACATGACAGTAACAAAGCAGCAGTGTTTGCCCATAATAAGTAAAGAAACTTCAACAAGAGCCCTGTGGTATAACTAGCAGCATCTTGTGTAAGTGTCTGCAATGCTCCCCACAGGTCAGAAAAGTCCCTCTCTTTCCAGAGTGACACAAATAACCAAACTAAGGAAACTGGGGTTTGGGACAGCATTTTTAACTCTCTGCACCTTCTCCTATGCTGAAAATATACAGAAGTGGAAGTAAGTCAGGAAGTACTGTTTCTGAGTACCAAAAGTCCAGCCCTGTCCTGGTGTTCTCCAATTGTGTCACCACTGGCCATAGAAACAGCTGATATTAAGGAAGTGATGCTGTGGTACCTTCTCCGCAGGGCTTTTCTCTTTGCTGGAAAACTTTCCTTGGGCTACATCTGTCTTTGGGTCAGACTTTCCTGGAGTCCCAAAGGTTCCTGGAGGCTCAAAAAGGAAATAAGAACAGGAACAAGCCTTTCCCATTTCACAGCTGACGGAAGAGTTGTTTGATAATGGCAGGGTAATAACAGGCAGAACAATTCAGATTAGAAGTCCACAAATCCACTTGACTAACACAGCTCAGGCCAGCAGCTCCAGATAATGGAAGTTATTATACAAAGTACAGCCCTTATTTTGGAAGTTAATACTTGTTCTTATCTCCTTTAGGCTTTCTGTGAAAACTATAAATGCTCCATCCTTCCCAGAGCCTTCTCAGGCCTGCTGCACAGAGTGCGTAATATGCTAATATTGGAGATTTTGCTCAGTTTTATACTCAAAAGGCTGTAATCTGCTAATGCCTATCGCTTCTGGAGGTTAGACCATGCAGTGAGCTCAGAGGTGAGATATCAGCAAAGGCTTTCTGGCTGTTTGGGTTATTAAGTGCTGGCTCTGATAGCCCAGAATGATTTTGGGAAAGGGCTTGAGAACTTCTGGGTGGAGTAGTTTTGGTAGAGTTCCTTCTGCCGTGGGGCAGCCTGCTGGACTAGATGAGCTCAGAAGAGGCACATCATCCTTTCCATCATTCACCTTTTCTTCCATGCCTTGGCCATGATGGCTTAGTGTTTTCTGCTTCCCATCTATGCCAGTTTTTAGAAACAAGTGGTTCCAAGGTGTCTTTGGTGTCCCCCCACTGCTGCCTGAGTGGTCCTGCAGCCCATGGCACATGGCTTATCCTGCCTTGGAGAAGAATCTGTCCTCTTCACAGCTGAGAGGAAATGTTGTAAGCTGAGGGGGTGAAACAAATCACATTTCTTTCTATTTAAAAATTGAACAAGAATTGCCATGCTATCTTATTAGCAGATAAAAGCTAATATTATCACCTGTCATGTGAAAAGAGGAGGAGGACTGGAACATGATCTCCTGGGAAGCACAATAAGTGAGCCTGCATCATGAGAGCTGTTAGGTGGATCCAACAGACTAGGTTTATTTCCTGTCTTACAAATTTCAGTGGATAACTAAATGAAACCCCATAGTGAGATCCCTGCTGAACGACACCGTTTTCTGATCTTTCAGAGTTACTGATTTCAGCCTTAAATTGTACTGAAGCTTCCTTTAAAACAGAGATTGCTGCATCTGGAAGCACTACAGAAACATGCCTCAGGCAGCTGCTATCTTTTCCAGTCCTCAGCAACTGCCAAACCTCGCTGCAGCTCCCTCACCTGAAGTGTGAAAGGGCAAAACCTGTCTGGCTGGAGAACATCCATCCCACAAAAAGGGAGTTTAATACTCACCAGTGCCATCCATCTACTCAGAAGTTCCCACTTTTGGACATGATTTATTCCTGTCATTGTCCAGGACAAGTGTGGCAGACACCTTGATCTCTCTAGGCTGCACATCCCATCCAGGAGATACTGGTAAGTTAGCAGGGTTTATTTTTCACCTTCCCCCATTAGATTAGCTTCAGCTGGTTGGGAAGATGGCCTGGGAATGGAGTGAGTGCGGGAATCCACATCAGCCACCCACCCTTGACTTGAGACACAGCTGCAGGGATAAGGAAGGCAGAAGCTTCTATGGACATCCTGCCATAGCAGAGATGTGGACACTTGTGTATCACCCACATAAGAAGTCTTCCTTTCCCCGTCCATTCCTACCTACATTCATGTCAAAGAAGGGGACAAACCCCAAATATCCACAGCAAAATAGGCAGGGATGAAACTGCTATAAAAATAGTAATTTTTAAAAGGTAATGACTTATCCACTGGTGTGGGGACAACACAAGTACTGAGGGAAAGATGTTCTTTTTCTCTCCACAAGTGCCTGAGGGGTATTCATTTGCTGAAAAGCATTTTCTCCTGTATGCTTGAGATGGTTTGAAATGCTTCCAGGAACAAAGCCAATTCCCACCTTCAGCTCCCCCCCTGCCTTGTCCTTTTCCAGCAGGCTGTCCTTCCAGCGAGGAAATGCAAAGGGAGGGGAAGCTGCTCCGGCTGCCTCTGAAGGTCACAGGCACAAGGGGCTCATGCTGGCTCCTTGGGACAGTGTCTCAGCACAGATTCCAGCAGCATCTCCTGCTTGCTGCATCTGTTGGCAAGGTATGCATATGGCTGTCAGCACTTCCGGAGGAGAATGTTAATGTTGGCATGTTTTACCAGTCTGATCAAGCATCTGACACTCATCTGGTGGGAGAAGAAATGAGGGAAGACAGGGAAAGAGACCTCCTAGCAGTGAATCTTGCCTTTGATGTTTGGGACAGAGTACGGCTTGTGTTAATGTTTCTTTGCAGCTGTGCTGGCATGGGTGGACTTTAAACCAGCCATACAGGGAATGCAATCCGCTCACACACCCCTGGGGCAGCAGCTCTGTTTGTGTTTTGTAGGGGTATGCACATAGTGATGCAGAACTCACAGGTATTACGAGTCTCTATAGGAGCTTTTACAAACAGAGGCCATTTAAAGCAGCCTGAAGGTTGCTCTACTTTGTACCAGTGGCAGATTTTGCCTTTGGCCCATGCCAGGATCAGGAGGAGTGGAAAAAATGTCTCTGCCTATCATTGCCTTCCTACGATAGCTACACCGAACAGCTCTTTACTCTGTTAAATCTGATTTCCTCAGTGCTATTTATGGTATAAAAGCAAAGGGTCTCTGGAGTAACACTGATTGCAAAACCAGTGTAAAAGCAAAGAAAATTAGGTCTGTTCTACTGTTAGCCAGCGTGTAATTTTTAGCTGGAGTGAGCATATTGCCACAAACCTTGTCAGGAAACAAACTGCGTGGCGATCAGAAGTACCTGGGGAGAATGCGCTTACTGATGTGTGAAATGCCTCGGCCGTCACTCAAGCGATCCTCGCAGCTCCAAGGACAAATAAGCAGCATCTGTGTTAATGCCCTTTGCAGCATTCAGCACTGGCGGCTGCATTTTGGGAGCCCAATGGTGGAGTGAGCCCTCACTGCTCTCCAGTCGGCTACGTTTCCATCTCGTGCGAATGGTCTGTGCCCTCCAGAAGGTTTCAGCGTGGTTGTTTTTCCCCCTTCGCTGAGTGCTGTCTTAGACCAAGTAAATCTCAGGCTGTGAGGAGCACAGTTGTAGTCACCATAAGCCAAGGCTAGATGTTTCATGCTGTAATCAGAACTGGCAACTTCCAGTGAGCTTCTTTACTACTTAAAAGCAGAATTGAATGTATAGTACCAAGGCTGAGATCATGAAGGAGCAATTTCTCTTGCATAGACCGATCTGGGGTACTTAGATGACCTGCTCTGTAAGCTGTAATTTAAAAACAGGAGGATAGACATCTAAGCATGCAACTAACCTTGAGGGAATTCCTAGGATCTCCCCGAAAACTCCCCAGCACACATTAAGAAGTCCCACTGCCCATGGATTTCTGGATGTACAGCTCTGGCACTTGAAGTTTTCCCTGTACAGATTGCAGATGTTGTTCATTGTCTGCAGCCTGTATTCACCTGTCTCTACTTCTTTCTGCTCATCCATAATCAACTTCTTGAGCTATAAATGAGCTACTCAACAACCCACAACCTTATGTTTGTATCATAACCCATTAATCCTGGGCATGCTTTATAGGAGGTTTCTATTTCTAGAATAGTGGAGAGGGGGTTAAATAGATTTTGCACAGACACAAACATCTTGTGTTAAAGGTGGTCATAATCACGTCACTCAGTGTGCTATTGGAAGCAATCAGCTATGGTCATAAGCAACATATTGACCTGTCGGACTCTATAACAGCCCATAACATTTGATTATCCATTTCTTGAAATAACTATTAATTGTTCATTAGCCCTTTATGAAGTATTTTATACCAGTCTTTCATACGAAGCATGACTGAAATGTTAAAGCCTAGTATTTGACCTTTAAATTCAACCAATCAAAAAATCAGTAAAAACCAAGATTTTGCGTCTTTTCAGCTGAAAGAGTTGAACATCAGCACCAGTCCCAGATTCATTTGGATGCAGAGATCTTTCTCTGTCTAAACACTGTGTGTCTTGCCAAGATGTTCTCCTGCGTCCCCTCTCCTGTTAGAGACCATGGCATTATCAGAGTGAAATAAATTGAACCCATCTATTTCAGATCCCAGCCTCAGGACAGGTCAAGTCACTCTGATTCTGGAGATGGACAACCTGGAGAAACTCCAAAGAGCTGGGGTGAAGTGAGAGCATCACCTCTGGTCCTGGCACTGAAGGCCTGCTCTCATTCAGCAAAGTACTTCAGGATATGATTAAACTGAAGGGCTGGATGGAGCTGTAGCGTTTAGCTAGGGCAGGGGAGGCACAACACACCATGAAGGCGGCATTTCTTAAGGGAGCTGTGTGGTTTACAAGGTCATCTAAGCACACAGAGCGGCTGAGGATATTTAGATGTCCAGACGTGGAGTGAGGAGCTTAGATACCAGTGTAGTATGCTCATCTTTATCACATCAGGCAGTCAAAGGAACCTTGGAAGTTTCAGCAGCACATTCAACTCCGAGGCACGTTTGTTGAAAGGTCTTTTATCTTTGCCTGCAGTAACTTTCTCTCTCTGGTTCTTAGGACTAATAATACAAAGCTCGCTAATGCTCATGAAAATCCTTTGCACAGCTTCCAAGCTGGGCACTGCACTCCTGGAACGTTTACACTCCAGTTGTCCTCCTTCATCATCTCCATGTCCTACATCATCAGGCAGCAATGTGTCACAAGATTACTCATCACGAATTAAACCTCATGAAAAGCTGTTCTGAGCTGGGAATCTACAAGAAATACATTTTGGCAAATGATATGAGAAGCAGAGGAGAACAACAGATGTTTCCAACAGACAAACGTTTCCAGTTTGGTCGTAAGTCTGTACTCTGCACCAGTCTCTAGATAACATCCTTCAGCATTGTGCCAAGGGGAACAATGGCTCTTTCGACTCCAGTGCTGCCCTGGTATCTGCAAACTCTGGGAGAGCCAGCTCCAATTCCTTCCAACCTCATCTTCATCCAAAGATACCCAAGAATTTCTTTATTCTCTGTCCCTAGCTCTCCATGGCTATAATCCAACACCTGCATTTGAGCCACTGGAGGCAAAAATCCAAAATGTTCGCAAGGGGAATGGAGCAGTGAGAAGGCGAAAGACAGTCTGCCATGATATAAGGTGGGTAATTCCCTATCACCGCCTGAGCAAACACACAGACGCTGTGGCAGGGAGCCTGACAGATGGTTAGAGCAGAGCAATGGGCTTTTATTCACTGAGGCATGGCTGCCTTCGATTTCTGTTTGAAACAAAGATGTATCCTGGTTAGCAGTTCTCTCTTTGCTCAGACAAAACATCCTGTGTCTGGCTTGACCCAAGTCAAGTGGATGGATGTTCACATGGGGTGCACTGAAACCAGGCAGGGTCCTCACCGGTTCTTCCTCTACATCCAGGACGTTGGTCCATGTATCCATCCTGAGTGACTCGCTGTTTCCAGCCCACCATCCCTTTTGCTGTTGGCACTGTGAGCCTAGCGCTCAGGCCAAAGGCAGCTGAGGTGCCAAGTCCTCAGCTGTTGTGCCTGGACATGGCACCCCTGCCTGATTGCAGCCTGTCATAGGCAGTAATGGATCTTATGTTCCATTTGGGGATGCCTTTGCTGTCCTTGGATTCTGTCCTGTGATGCCACAGCTTCTTTGTCCAGGGTAGGAGAGCACCTGCCACCAGCACTAGGAATGGGGAAGAGGGGTAAATTTCTCCCCATTTCTGGGTAAATCTCCAAGGTCTAGGCTTGCTGGGGAAGGGGCTCACTGTGAAGCAGGCAGCCCTGCCCCAGAGATGGGCTGGCCTGCAGCATCGCTCTGAGCTGCACTCCACAGGCAGAAAAGACTTTAAATGCTTTCCTTTCATTCATTTGCTCTTTTGTTTCATCAAGCTACCAGTGCAGACATCCTGCCTCCGATGTCACCTTCCAAGTGATTTCCCTCACCGTTCAAAAACACAAGTTTATCCCTCCTGGAGAGGTGAACCAGAGATATGTTTAATAGGAAAAGAGAGAGGTGAGGTAATCAAACACCTGCTCCCACTAAAGCAAAGCCTTTCCTCTTCACAGGCTATTGAGCACTGATGAGCAAAGAGGAAGACACAAACCAACCCTAACCCTGTGAGATGTCCAGCCTTTAGAGTGGACACAAATCTGGGTTGTAAAAGCAGAAACATGAACTGCACTTTGTGCTTGGGTCCCAGCTGCTCTGCCCAGGTTAGAGAATGAACGCTACAAGTTGAAAACTACAGCACTACAGGCACGTTCACTGCTGCCTGTTCTAATCATCAGGCAGGAAAGCACAAGTGTTAAGTGGATGAATTTAAGATTAATTGCCTTTGTTATTTTAGCAGGAGAGCCCCTGATGCTCATCCATGCAGGCGCTGCTGGCTGCGACCAAAACCTGGCTGCCTCCTGGTTGCAAAGCACTGGCGGACAAGCATGATCCTCCTTGTAACACCACTGCTCCTAAACGACCTCCCAGGACTACGTCTCTCTGGGTGCACGTGAGATGTATCAAACCCCATTAGGGCATCTGTAGGGATGGATGCAGGGATAGTGACCATACTGCCACCTTCTTCCTACCAGAACATTCTCTTTTTCTCTTGCTGCCCATGCAGCATCTATCCTTGGCTCCCTGGCACTGCAATAGCTTCAAACAAGCCCAGGGGATGGGCATTTCTTGCTTTCCTAAAGTACTCATGCAGGCTTTCAGACCTTCACATGCAGCCACTCTGAGGCTCCAGATGACTTGGATGTACTTGGAGAATGATGTTTTACAGTACTGAGGGGAAAAAAAAGACAAAGCCAGAGTATAAAAGCAAGCCCAAAAGCCAGGAGGATTTCTGTACCTCGACTTTACCACATTTGATGTAGCAGTGACACTCTGAAAGCAGCTAAACAGTGCTAGTTGATTCTAATGCTTCATCAGATGCCCTTTTCCTGCCTGGTGAAAGACAGCAGTGCCCCCACAAATGTCAGTTTGAACATCCTCAGTCAGATCGCTGCTTGCCCACAGATTTGAGATGGTTTTCACTGCCTTTAATGGCTGACATACAATAACATCAGAGGGAGCTGCACATGATGCCCATCACCAGGCAATCAGGCATCTCATCATTCTCTTCTGACACACAGCTCTCCATGGGGGATGGTCATTTTCTCTGGCTGGGGGCAGAAGCCCCCTGGTCCTTCGGCTGTTGCCTTCATCTAGTCTGCAGCTTGAAAGAAGAACTTTCTGCACATCAAACGCTGGCTAGGACCGACTGCCAGGGAAGTAAGCATATAAATCATGTGGAGAACAGTGACATCAGCCCCGGAGAGCTCTTTCCCAGATCAGATGCCTAAAAAATCCCATCTGATGTTGACTGCTCTGAAAGGCTGGAGGCACAGAGGTATGTGTTTCAGACAAGCAGTCCCCAAAGCAATCTGTATGTCTCTGTAGACTGCACTAGTGCTTGAATTTTAACCAGAAGGAAATAGGTTGCCAAAATATGGCAGGGCTCAGAGATGTTATACACGTATAACTCATCTACATGGTGAGCATTGTGCACCACCTATTATACTGCTGTCCTTGTCCATATTTCATTATAGGCTTGCCATTTCTCGGTGTGTAAAAATAGGATATGCTGGCATGGTTTAAATGGTGCTAAGAGCACTGTGAAGAAGCACAATGATAGTTGAGAGGGAAAAGAAGAAACAGACTTCCCCTAAGTAAAGAGCAATACCAAGCAAGTGCTGAACTGACAACCTCTGCTGCTGAAACCAAAATGCCCTGGCAAAAAGCCATCAATCACTGCATGCATATATATATATGTGTGTGCATATATATGTATATATATGTACACACATACTGCAACCAGCAGCCTTGTAGAGGACAGCACATCAGAAATGCACTCAGCATGTGATGCACTCAGCTGTATATGGTACTGCAGTTATATACTGCAGGATAATCCTACTATTTTACCCATCTGAGGAAAATTAGGTTTGGTTTTGGAGAGCATTTTTCCATGACTTTCCACTTTATAAATTCAAAGGCAAGTGGCTGTACACTGTGACAGGTCTCACACCTCCCCAGTGTCCAGGATGGTTCCCAATAACTGAAAGGGAGGTCTCCAGGGCTGGTCTTCTGAATGTGCTCTGGTTGTGCTCTGCTGGTGCATGCAGTATTCAGTGCTACCCAAGGCACCCACTTTTCACTACTGATACGTCCCACACAAGGTGGGCTTTTGTTTGATGTTGGGGCTGGTCTATCAAACCTCATCATGGTGGTGTTTAGAGAATTGAGACCTTCAGCTCTCTGTAGGTGTCCTAATGGAATAATGATTATGTGCGGCCAGAGGAAGAGAAAAATCAAGAGAAAATTGGTTGCAGGTGATTTTGGAGACTTGTTTTCCAGGATTTAATACATTTTGGATGACTGACAGCTGGTCTCCCATAGTCACATTTTTATCTCAAATCTTTTTATTTCCTCAGGCGACATTTACCTCTGCTTTTTAAACAAAATACAGCCAGAACCAGACTATCATAGCACAGACTGATTGACTGCTTTCAGACAGCTCTCCAAGCTTCCTAAACATGTTAAACCACTCTCTTTCTGGTGAGTAGCTCCCAGTGATTTCAGCATGAATAAGGATGCAGCTCTGCCAGGAAGCATTAGTGAAAACATGATCATTCACAAGAGCCACTCAGTATGTCTGGGCTGAAATTATCCACAACAATATTTTTATAATTCTGTTTTTAATTACTAGTAGTGGCCATAATAGTCACTCTTTCAGCTGCTTTTCTCATTATCTAATATGGTAATAGTTATTTTTCCAGTATTAAGGACCAGTTAATGATTGGGATTTTGTTGAGGTTTTTTGGTTTTTTTTTTATCCTGAGATAAAATTCAACTTCGTATGAAAAAGGATTGTGTTTATGTTTCATGGTAAAATGTTGTGGGGTGTCTTGCATTTAAAACTGAATCTCATAATCTCATTTACAAGTAGTAAGGAATAAAAAGACAGTTTAGCTAAGGTGTTTATACTAATGTTATGGAGTCATGGAGTGAAGCAGTTTTGCACTGAGATGCGCATGGAACATCTAAAATTCCCTAGATTTAGTGAGTAGGGGATCATTTTCCTCTTGGGTAGACCTTTTTCATCCATGGAATTCAAATCATTGCATCTGAATAGAAAAAAGTACTTTCAAAAGTCAGTTAGCAACAAACCCTCAAACCTCTGGACCTATAAATGTGATGAACTAAATGAGAGATGCAGACATGTAACTCTTTCCTGTCAGCCTGGGGAATTCAGTCCAGCAAGCTTATGTACTCCCCAGCACTACTCTGATTCGTTACCCAAACCACAGGAGACTGAGACTGTAACTAAATCTCAGCACCAGGAAATCAAGCTGCCAGGGCTGGTACATGGTCAGTGAGTCTCTGGTATATAGAAAATCAGTGAAACATAGGCCTTTTTCCTCAGCAGCTGCACATTCTGTATTTATCAGACTTTATGAGATACAGCACCAGAGAAACTGGTGTAAGACCACTGGACTATTTACTACCACTGTACCAGAATAATTCATGTGTTTATTCCCCATCCCAAATACACCAAAAACTAAACCTCCCGCATAAAGTTGCATTGATTTAAAGCCAAGCATGAATTTTTTGACCTTTAGTAAACCATGCTTCCTCTTTTAATTTTTCTTTTGAAGGGAGGGAACATGGATCTGTTCAGAAAAAATAAAGCAATTTTCCAACCAAGTGCATCAAGCATATCTCTAGATCCTTTGCACTGCGCTGTCCCCTCCTTTTGATGTTTCCCATTTGTGTTTATCTCCCAGAGCTCTCTACCGCCCTCCACTAAGTTTTCTCCCTCCTAGTCTCTTGCATAAGGAAAGCTATAGATGGAAATGTGCTTGCTTTACTTGTCCCACTCTAAGCAGGGAATGCAAAAAACCCCAACGTGAAGTCCCTCTGTTTGTCTGTATATCAAAGCATTTCATCAGTGCACGTTGATTCACTGCCTGTATCATGCAATGCCCTTGATCTGGAGCAATGCAGGAGGAGGAAACCCTGCGGTGCTGCACTGGTAGCAGATAACTCGTGTTTTATTACTGGGCTGGTATTTTTCCCTTTTGGCAAATAGGATTGATGTAGGGGGATGGGAATTTAGCCTGCTGATGGCTTGATTTTGGAAAGCCTCCCTTTTCAGGACAGTTCGAGACATTTTAAGCTTGTTTTCAGTTCCCACTGTTTTTCCATTAAGTTTTATTTTGTTGTTCACTTCCATGAGTTTTGCCATCCAGTGTTTTTTTGTTCCTTCATCTCTTCCAGTCTTTCAGCCACTTTCTGCACTTCAAACAAGAAAACGAGCAGGTCTTTGGTAACCAGAATTTGTAGCAATCTCTATCTTCATTTTACTGAGATTTTCATACCATGAATGCATTAATATATTCTGTCTGTCCTTAAAACAATGGCAGGAGACAAGATAAGCTCTCAATGTCTTTCAGAAGTAAACAGCAATGTGTTAAACTGGTTTAACAGCTTTTGGAAGAGTTTAAATGAGGCTGCTTTTTTTTTAAATGACCTTTTAAGAAAAAATTAGACATTTGGCTCTTTAATGACACATTCATTTATATCACTTAATGTTGCGTGCTGCTTCCTTTACAGGCGTTGCTGTGCAATTGCTGGCAAATGAAATAACTAGTTCCTCAGCTATTCTGCTGATTAGCTGATTTTAAAAGTGGGGATTCTCTTCGTGGAGTTTCTCAGCTGGACACAGCATTGGCAAGAGTCTTTTATGCAGCTCCATGCACCGTGGCTTATGACGGCGACCTCCAAGGTTAGTGATAATAATGAATTGGGATGGTCTGGACCAAAGTAGTTTTTCCTCACACTAAACTATTTCTGTACAGAAAACGGGTCTGATGACAACATTCCATCCCATCCACCATGCGCTTCCTCCACAGCTTCAGACATTCTCTGTGGGCAGCAGGTAAAAGAATTTGTCCGTTCTGTCAACACCACCCAGTTATCAGTCTCAGTTCTGCCTAAATACCCCATATATACCCATGCTAGGCAAGCAGTTCTGCACTGCTGGCAAATGTATGGAGAAATCTGATGATGGGAAGTTGTGAATGCTCCATCCCTGGCATTGTTCAAAGCCAGGTTGGACAGAACCTTGGGTGGCATGGTTTAGTGTGAGGTGTCCCTGCCCATGGCAGGGGGGTTGGAACTAGATGATCTTAAGGTCCTTTCCAACCCTAGCTGTTCAATGCTTCTAAGAGTACCTTAGAGGCAGGACTTGGGTTTCTTTGTGGCTATTCCATTGCAGGGGTCCCAGACCTGGTGAGAAGAAGTTGGTGGGTGGCAGCTTTAGCATCGGCTTGACTACATGCACAGAAACAGGTATGGGACATGTTGACCATAGACTCTGGGTCCAGCAGTGTGCAATATAAACCAAAGAAACCCCCCAAACCCACAAACTAATTTGGTTAGAGACATTGTTCCTTGTGTGAGGGAGTATTTGTTGGATTCTGAGAACTGCCAAGGTTATAAAATCCAGATCTCCCACAGGGAGTTAAGGTCTGAACAAATTTCTCCTCCCTCATAGTTTTACCAAGAAATTGTCAGTTGGTATTTTTAA